ATAGCTTCTCTCCCTCCCCCTCCTTTCCCTGGAACCCCGGGCTGCAAATTCTCCCTGGGCAAGGAAATGTGGGGCCTCCAGCATGGCTTATGCTTGGGACCTGAAACCCAGATCCCTAACTGTGCTTCAGGATTCTTGTGACCTCTTACCTCTCATATCTTCTCTCCTTGGTCATCCTTCCTTCCGGCTGGGTCAGGGTAACCTCCAGCTCACTCCCCTCCCCTCCGCATCAGTTTGCAGAATCTTTTCTGCATAGTGGAGGCCTCTGTAAGGGTCCTCCATGATGGAGTTGGAGTCAGAACTTTGCTTTCTCACATGGTTCTCAGGGACCCTCTTCCATGGGGCATCTCAGGCTTCTGAGCCTCTGTTTGTGTTTGTTGGGACCAAGCTGAGAACAAGGGGTCCCCACATGCATCTCTGGTGTATGACCCTACAGCTGTAGTCTGCCTTGTTCACAGTGCCTCCCTGAGACCCCAACTCCATGATCCTAGGCCCTGTCCCATTTCATTTCATCATCCTGTTATTCGTCGATTGCCTCGAGCAGGCCCCAGTAACGTCTCTTTCATCCTAGCCCTGAGATTATATTCAAGGCTCTTTAGGAGAATGAGACCCATCATTGTTACTGGTATTTGGCATATTTGGTACGCCACGGGGAGTTTGCCAGACTCTGCCCTGTGGGCAGGCTACATTCGATAGCCTGCAAGTTTGTCCAGAGTAGGAATGAGATAATAAGATGTCATAAAAAAGATGTCCTGATAAGATGTCACGCGGCTGCAAATGCGGCCGCACGGTTCCGGGAGCTGGATTTTATAGTCTCTGAGTCTTGGCCGTTGATGGGATTACATGGCGCCAGGGGGCCAGGTGGTGGGTGTGACCCCCGCCTACTGGAATTTGGAGGATCTGGGTGGAGGATGCTCGACTCCAATCCGAGTAGGCTTGGAGATCTCGGCCCCGGAACCCGCGTAGGCCCTGTCCTATATCCCACCCAAACCCCAACTCATCTCCCCCATCTTGGCATTTTCTCTTCTTTTCTTTTCTTTCTTTCTTTCTTTCTTTCTTTTTTTTTTTGTTTTGGGGCCACACCTGGCTCTGCACTCGGGGACCAGTCCTCGCAAGCTACTTCTAGCTCTACCCTCTACTTCTGCCTTTGCACTCGGGGTTCACTCCTGGCAAACTTGGGGGAACCAATCAGGGTGCCAAAAATCAAACCTGGGGTCAGCCACGTGCAAGGCAAACACACTGCCCACTATACTATTGCTCTGGCCCCTATCTGTGTATTTTTATTTTTAAATAAGAACCTGCTTTGCATCTTGTTCTAAGTAAGTGAGAGTGTGGCCACTTAAAGCATTTCTCTTCACAAAGTTGAGAGCATTCTATTTATTCTGGGATTGGCCCTTTTAAGAAGACAGTGCTCAGAGATCACTGATTCTAATGGGGGTGGGGAGGGGAAGAAGTGCTGCTCGTTTAACCTGCTTGTGTCTGAGTTTGCTGAGGCTTGAACAATTGCTCCAGTACCTTTGGAGTTGCCAATAGCCAGGTGAAGACAGTAAGCAGGTAAGCACACACGGCAGCAAATGCAGGGTTGGAAATAGCAGAGGTTTCGCCTCTTCCATGCAAGTAACCTTTTCTTATTTTTGGACACTGCAGAGAGAGCAAAACCCATGTTGAGCACCCCAGCTTGTGTATGGAACCTACTGTGATTTTATTACTCTCAGAGGTTAAGAAAAAATGCAGTGATTGTGGTCTCGAGTGATAATATAGTGGGTAGTGTTTGCCTTTCATGTGGCCAACCCAGATTCTATCTCCAGCATCCCGTATGATCCCCCAAATATCACCAGGAGTAGTTCCTGTGTGCAGAGCCAGGAGTAAGCCCTGAGAATTGCCAGGTGTGGCCCAAAATTTAAAATTAAAAAAAAAAGCAGTTATCACATATATGCGCCATCCACCAGACATTTGCCTGTTGATTTTTTTAAAATTTTTTTTTATTAGTGAAACACCATGAGGTACAGTTGTAGATTTACAATTTTTTGTGCTTGGGTTTCAATTATACAATGATCAGATACCCATCCCTCCACCAGTGCCCATTTTCCACCACCATGGATAATATCCCCCCACCCCCATCCCCCCATCCCCCCCTGTCTCTGTGGCAGGGCAATCCCCTGTGTTCTCTCTCTCCTTTTGGGTGTTGTGGTCTGCAAAAGAAGCATTGAGTTTGCCTGTTGATTATTGCGTAAGGAGCAGGAGGCCTTGCAACATTTGTATCCTGCTTCTCACACCAGAAGACAACTTGTCAGCATCTAGGACTCAACACCACTTTCCTGACCTGTGGCCCGACACACTTCCTTTGCTCCACAGTAACCAGAAACCAAAGGGCAGCAAAGGGTCTGATTCTGTTCCCCAGGTGCGTTGCACCCTCCCAGTTCAGTCTACCTTCCGTATTCTCCCTGCTGGCTTGTACCGGAATTAGTCGTTTGTGTAGGGTCTTCTCTTCTTGAGTTTTCTGTATTTTACTTACTGATTAATTGATTATTTGGGGGGAGGGGGCTGCCCAGCAATGCCCAGAGATAACCCCAGGCTCTGCACTCAGGAATTACTCCTCTTGGGGGACTTTATGGGATGCCAGGGATTGAAACTGTGTCAGCCACATGCAAGGGAGACTGCTACGTTATCACTCCAAATTCCTTGCTTCCTTTTGAACTTTGATGCCTGTGTCTGTCAGTTGGATCTGCGAGGTGATTGGACATGGTAAAGGTAAAGGTAAAGGCCCTCCCCTTGATCGTCGATTTGCTCGAGCGGGCCCAGTAACGTCTCCATTGGAGACTTTGCTGTTACTGTGTCTGGCATATCAAATATGCCAGGTAGCTTGCCGGGCTCTCCGAGAGGGGCGGAGGAATCGAACTCGGGTCGGCCATGTTGGCCGCTTGTAAGGCGAACACCCTACCGCTGTGCTATCGCTCCAGCCCAATTGGACATGATATCTGCCAATCACCCGGCTTGCTGCTGGCCCCCTGGTTGGTTCTTGGGAAACACGCCCTCAGGGATTTCATGTCCCTGTACTTTCTGTCTTCACCTGGCAAACCAAGTGGGTCAGTCCTGCCTCCCCTGTGCTTCTATTCCTTCCGAGTAGTCACAGCTGATCCCTCCATCCTCCTGTACTGTGGGCTGCTGGGAGCAGAGTCTGCTTTCCATCCTGGTTCCTCTCAGAGGTTGCAGCAGAGAACTGGTTTCTAGAAAAGTCTGGAGGTTGGGTGGCCAGAGCAACGTGGGTAGGGCACTTTCCTTGCACGCAGCCAATCTAGATTTGATCACCAGCATCTCATATGGTCCCTTGAGCACTGCCAGGAGGGATTCTTGAGTACAGAGCCAGGAGTAACCCCTAAGCATCACCACCAGGTGGGTGACCTCAAAACATAAACAAAGGAAGCCTCGTAAGGGCCAGAGAAATAATACAGTGGGTAGGGGGTTTGCCTTATATGCACGAACCCGGGTTCAATTCCCAGCATCCCATATGGTCCCCCGAGCACCACCAGGAGTGATCCCTGAGTGTAGTAACCTCTGCACACACCAGGTGTGACCCAAAAAAAAGAATTTCAAAAAAGCCACCAAAGGCTAAACCAAATAATAAATAAATAAGTCTGGTGGTTGAACAAAGGAGTGATGGGGCATACACAGAGCTGTGGGGGGTGGCCCTGGGGGTTCTCTTTGTCAGGAAGGGGATCAGGACCATCGATAAGGCTTAAGACTTGGGTCCCAGGTGGGATGGGAGCTGACATTTGGCACTCGCTCTCTGCACAGGCTCCCTGGCATTCTTCCCTTGCAAACACGGTGCCTCTCTAGGATGGAGACTATCCTCTCGCACCTTTTGGATTCCTCTAGGTTGTCACACAAGAAAACTGAGCCGTTGCTACCTTTGAAATATGTTCTTCAAAATAAACCAGTGCATGCAGAGGATGCCAAATAAAAATGCCAAAAAGTTCAACCACAAAAGTCCGTGACTCGCCCATCCTGGACCTTTCCTGTCTCCTCGTCCAGGACACACCTCCAATAGCCTTATTCTCTGCAAGTACAGGAATCTTTTTTTCCCAAAGGTAGCATCTCAGATGCATTGTTTCTGCATGTTAAAATTTCCCTGCCCCCAAAGCAAATGCACAGAGAGCCAACTCACTCTTGTGTAGGGCTAGTACTTATTATATGGGTAAACCTTGCTCCGTATCGATGGATGAGTTTCCAAAATTTTCCTAGTGCAGACAGTGCGGCCGTGAATAAGCTTGCGTGTACATTCTGTGCGTGCGTGCGTGAGTGTATCCGGAGGGGGGCGTCTGTGGTTGTGGAAATTCTGCCTGCCAGGGTAAGAGGTATTTTAAACCTCCTCGCTTCTGTTTGTCAATATGTCCTCTTTGGGTCTGAAAGAATGATGTTCACCCAGCAAAGAATGAGATCTCTTATTTCCCATGCTCTGCCAAAACTGTGTGTTCGCAACATTTTGTTTCTGCCAAGCCATATGTGAAGATAGTATTTCAGAACCTAACTTAAGTTTTCTCTTACTCCAAGTGATGTCGAGTCTTTACTTCTGCTTAAGCGCCAACTGTATCTCTTAGGCTGTTAAACTGTGCCCATTTTCCTGCTTGAGGTGTTGGACTTCACTTATTATTTGTAGAAGTGATTTTTTCTACCAAGGAAATTAACCCTGTGCAATGCAAATTGCCATTTTTTAAACTGCAACTGTTAGTAGGGGTTTTTTTTTTTAAGTAAAGGCCAAGACTGCCATCTCAGCCTCTCTCCCCCTCCTCCAGACTGTGTTCCCTCAAGGGCAGGGCCCTGTCTGGGTCATTTGAGTCCCCAAGGAAGATCTGGCTTTTCACTCATCTTTCTTCAGGGTCTGCTGAACTGAACCACACTGAGCGCTGGTGCCCCCCACCCCGCCCGCCTTCCCCTCTGGCTTGGGAGTTCTGGTTCCCCCTCGGGCGGAAAACGATGACCTTTCTCATTGCTCACCACAGCCATGCACCTGCTTGCCCTGAACTGGCACCTGCAGCCGATGGAGGGGCAGATGTATGAGATCACGGAGGACACAGCCAGCAGTTGGCCTGTGCCAACGGACGTTTCCCTGTATCCCTCAGGGGGCACTGGCTTAGAGAGCCCTGACAGGCCAGGCAAAGGAACGGCAGAAGGTAGGGTTGCTGTGATGTCCGTGTCGTGCGTCCTCTGTGTCTGCCTCGGAGCCGAGGACACTCCATTTCTGCCCCATTGTGTGCTGACTCCCAGCTCCATGCCCGGGCGCTTCCTCCATTCTCTGCACTCCACACATGGCTGCCAGTCCATTGTCGCTCCATCACGGTTTCCTGTCACCGCGAGCTCATGGCGGGGCTTGGGCTGGACTCATGTGCTGGGCGATGTCTCATCTCATGTCTCAAGGGAAGCGGGGCTTTCCCACTGTCTGGGGGCTGTGTGTGCGGGCCACCGTGAGCCTTGTGGGGGAGCTCTCTTGGCCTGGGTGGGTGTTCTCTGGGAGTCGGGTGTGAGCAGATGGTTGAATGGTGCGTGTGAGGTAACTGCCTCAGACCGTTGTGCTTTAATGGATTCCCCAGTTCAGGCATTCTAGCACTTTCCAGCCTTGGGCAAGTCACTTTGTTTCCCCGAGTTTCCCCTCCGCCACCTTCTCCCCCTGCTCACGACCATGAGTGTTTGCACACTGCTCTCTTCAAAGCTTTTTGTCAAGAGCATTTTGCATTTCATCCTCACAGTGCAGTTGTGAGGTAAGTATCGTTCTGGGCAACACTTTTAGATCCAGAGACTCCAGATTATTGAGTCGAGTCACTTGGCCAGCATCATGGGCTAGGAAGTAATGGGTTTGGGTCCGAGCCCGCAGCAGCACAATACTGCTGGCTCTCGCTCCTCCTTCAGATGAACCACCTGGCTGACCCAGGGTCACAGGACCCAGAAGGAAATGGAGATGAGGAAACACCTTGCATGATGCTTCTTCCCTCAGTGGTGGGAGTGATGGCAGTCGGCGTACTCGGTGTTCTTGACTGGAACAACCCTAGACCTACACTCTGGGTTTCCCAAAGGTCTCTCCCATATTCCATCAACATGAAATTCTTTGTCAGTCAGGGGGACACAGACCCATAAAACTGTTACTGGGAAAAATATCTGAACGAGTGGGTCAGGCCTGTGGTCTTCCTGGGCGTGTGGCCCTCCCTCCTCCTGCATCCGCGGCCTGCCTTCTCTCCCTGATGGCCTCTCAGGCTGCACAGTGGTTCAATTGCCCCCACCCTTTACCTCTCTCATCTCTGTTCCTCTTATCTCAGTTCCTTTTGGGATTAACTTTGGGGTCATGACTTCTGAGCATCTGGGTCCTTTCAAGGATTTATTTGGAATAGGTTTGGTTGGCAAGAGCGCATATTCCTGGTTGGAGTACCTACTCATGACCTCTGAATGATCCCAAAGGCCTAAATTATAAGCTTGCCCTATGGTCATGTTTAAGGAACGTGAAAATTGGGCGGCATTTCCACCGAGCCGGTTAGAGCCTATGCCTACTTTTTTGAGAGGTAAAGCCAGCCCTTCCTTTAAAATACGAAATAACTTTATTCCACCTCTTCATGGGAGGGAGTAGGAACATGGGTGGTGCCACGAACAGAGCTCTTGTTTGAAGACAAATCCCTGAGTTCAAGTTCAACAGAGTAAGAAACTCATGATTCCTCTTCAAAGTCACAAGAGGACTCGCCAGACAGTCTCTGAATGGTCCCTGTCCATGGTCCTGCCACTGCTTGGCGAGTCACATGTTAGCTTCTATTGTCAGTTGACCTAGGTGAATGTTGTAAATGAAGACCATCTTTAACTCGGATGTACAAATGCAGATTTAAGATATAGTTCCTCCTCAAGGCATTGGTAAAGAGTCTCATTTCACAAAACGTATTTTCTCCTCCTCTCTCCCCCCCATGATATCTATCAAACATTCTTTTAACAGGATTGGGTCTATCTAAAATCTTCCACTCTAATGAAATTAGTTTGTGGGTTGTTTAGGTTTGGCTTTGTTTTTTTCCCAAGGAGCAGGAGATATAGATAAGGGAGAAAATAAAATTGCACCAGCTTATTGGTTTACTTTAATTGGAGTATTTTTTGCTTAAAGGGATTATCTGTCATTACTAATGCAAATGGAAATCCTGTTTACAACCCCCTAAAATGCAATACAGTGCTGGGAAGTGGTCAGCATCAAAAGCAATTACTGTGATGAAAAAATACATCAGTCTGGCAGAGAAGAGGACAAAGCCTCCGATAGTTTTTGAGAAACCACATGGTTCTTAATTTCTTTTGCCCTGGTCAAACCAACGTTTACTCGGTTTATGTTTTTCATTGTGATTTGAAAAAAGTCTATGTTCTTAGACATGTATATGGGGGGGGGGGGAGAATCTTTAATCCTGATGCGAATGCACATTTCCTGTCCCCTCTGAGGGCATCAGAGAGGAAGCTGACTTCAGACTTAAGATTAGAATCCCCGTTCTACAACGATGGGCAAGGAAGATGGTGCGATGGAAAGGGTGTAAGTGGATCTTGGCAGCAGAAGTCCAGTGTTGGGGTCTTGCCCAACTTTTATTGGCTCAGTTTACTCCTGCCAGTTGCTCCATCTTCTTTGGCCATAGTTTCTTTGTCTGCACGGCAAAGATGATAATCCCTTTGCTTGCAAGGATTCTTGAGTGAACCAGGCCTCCATACATATTAAGCTCCTTTCTTCTTCCTCATTCAAATCCTAAACTGTGTGTCCTTCTTCAGAAATTCAGAGCACCAAATAAATGATTATTGCCCCCCCCACACACACACACATTCTTTAAAGGTTTGAGGTATTTTTGATTATTTATTTGGTGTATGTAGATTTCATACATGAGATAAGGGAGATTTCATACCAGGTAATCTCATACATGAGAAGCCGACATGTGGCTACTGAGCCACATTGCTGGCCACTGAATATCTTTGAAGGGTGTGTGTTTTTATATTTATACATATAATTGTGTGTGTGTGTGTGTATATATATATATATACCCATACACATATATTCATATATATTATACAAATATATGACAAACTCATATTTTAAATGCTTTTATCATGTCCTTGAGAATAAAACATCAAATGGAGTTTAGACTAAAATTTCAAAGTAGCTATAAACCCATTTCAGGGTTGTCATGGAGTGGAAACCAAATACGGCAGTTTTTCTATATAAAGTCACAAGAACGTATGTTCTGCATTAATGGCAAGAGGGGAAAAGACATTGAATAAACATGTGTTTCTGAGGGTTGAATTGGTGGGCTGGGGATAGTGTTTTCTTCTTTCTGCAATGAAATCAAAATTGCCCATCAGTTTGAACCATGCAAATTGCTGAGCACCAACTCAGCTGGGCTCTCCAAAGTGGAGCAGCTTATTTTGATAACCAAATAAATTTCCAACAGTTGCTAAGGAAACTAAAGGATTCTTTGTGCAGGTTGTTGCAGTGAAAAGAACCAGAAAGGTGGAGGGAGGGGGGAGAATGTTAGTTGATTAGGAATTTAGAATCTATGGAGATAGACCTTTAGTTCCAAAAGCAAAGAGTGTGATTAGGAACTAGATGGAATTTCAGTTCTTCCCGGTCTCCCTTATTTCACAGAGCTATCCAATCATTTCCACAATTTTTAAAAGAAATGTCTTTTAGAGACGTGATTGCATATATTGCTGCAGCATTACTATAGGAAGCCTGAATGGGAATAGCTTTACAAAAGGGATTGTGATCAGTAGAATCTGCCTAACGAAGTCTAATCATGCCATTCAGGGCCCTTAGCTCTGTGTCAGGTTCTTCACAGCAGTTTGTTAAACTGCAGGAGGCAACCAGTGGTTATACAGACCTTTTCTCAGGACTTTCATGAGCTATTGACTGTTGCCCTTTAATTTTAGGCTCCCTTTGCCTTCATGCAAATATCAACTCCTTGGACCCCAGAATCTTAGGGATTTTATTTTTTCGGTTGGCCTTGGTTCTCCTTATACTCACTCACCTTGCCATTTAGCTGGACTGTGGATTACACTGGTTGCTTGCTCTGAAGTAGGTCCAGTTCACCCATTGAGCCTGGAGAGTTTTATCTCATTATTCATCAACTGAATTCTTGGAGAAGCCATGCTCTAGTAAGTAAAGAAGGACCTCCACCCCCATCCCACCCCACCCAGAAACTCATCTCTAGAAAGTTTCTTAAGCATCCGTAGCCCTAGTATATACATTTGAGATAGTGAGAACTAACTGAACTGATATATGTAAATCTCAATAAATAGTAGTCACTGCTGCTGCTACTACATCGACTATATTACAACTACTACCATTTTCCCCAGAAGACCAGTCTCAAACACAGACAAAAGAAAAATCTTCTCCTACACATTTCTCCAACTGTCTCTGCTTTTGGCTTCTCTCGTTATTCCACTTTGAGTAGGTTGGCTATGCTGCGGAATAGTTTCACTCCTTGTGGTCACAGTTTAGTGCTGAGAATTAAGTACAACGGATCTCAGATTATAGGATCTGCAAAGTGGAGGACAGCATGGATGTTCAAAGGAAGAATGGGCAGTGAAACGGGTGTCACGCTTAATAATCCTCGGGGTAGCCAGTAAGGAAGTGGTACTTGGCCACGTCTCCTTCCCCTCCCTGTTCTGAGTCTGGGGCGAGGGCTGGCAGCAGGAATGATGGAAGTTATGTTCTCAGATCGGGTTTCTCCTTCCCCAGTAAGCCCTGCCTTGAAGCTGGTTCCTGGTCCCTGTCTCTCTAGGACAAAGGCCACTTTGGAAGCAGTGACCCAGAGAAGTTCTCCCCAACCCAGCCTAGAAAGTCAGGGTCATGGCCTGGTCAAGTACTAGACCAGAATTATTTCCTTGCTCTCTGTTTGGTCTGCTTGGCTCAACTTTAGAAATACTAGAAAAGACCTTTTTCCCTTTGCCACTCCTGGGGTGGAGCATTCTAGATATACCACATGTCCAGAGATCTCAGGTTTCTAACCTCCTAAGTCCCAGGATTTACCTGCTAGGATAGCTGTCACCTGTAAACATTCTTGGGGGAGACGTACTAGGCAGACTTCTCCAAAGATGTGCCAAACTCCTTTTCATGATTTCTTCTTCGCTGTAAGGGATTCCTTGAATGCAGACACGACTGCATTCCTGCAGCTCTCACCCTCCTGCTCCAGACCCCTCACTCTGTTCTCTCACAGCTTTGTAACTCAGGGTGGATTCATTTCTACCTGAAAAAAAGACCGGCATCAGGAGCCCAAAAACAGCTAAGGAAGGATGTGAAAGTAATTCACTCCCATCTTAACGCTTTGCGAATTTGGCTTCTGTCTTTGAACTTTGAACCAGAGTTTGGTGGTTTGTGGTGTGTCTGCATTTTTAAGGTAAAAAGTCTGGGCCACATTCCTTCCATAAAGGAATAAACACAAGCCCTTTCCCATGCTAATGACAGGATTTTATTGAGAGCACGCATTCAAACTTTTTTTGTTGTTGGCATATTTTTAATTAAAATAACATTTAACGGTTTGAAGCTAAAAACCTGATGTTTCTGCCTAGGAGTTTATAAGAGAATGATAGCATATGGAGAAGTTTAACATTCAAATTGAATTTTATTATTTAAAACAGTAAAATATTTTATGACTACAACAATGCCCTGCCAAGCTCCATTTCAGCATCAAATGTGCTTTGTAAGGAATCTTACAAAGCTAGGGGGGAAAAGGCATTTAATTTCTTATTCCCCAAATGCTTTTTACGAAAAGTTCCCACAAACGTGTCTCCTTTACAAATGGATTCTTGCTCTCAAAGCATTTCCGCAGCATGCTCAGAGGGTGCCTTCAAATGACAAAGATGATGGGGTGTTGACCAGTTGGGGCTTGGTGAAGTCCCCAAGAGGGGTCTTGGCCCCTCCCTGTCATCTCCTCTGCCCTCATCCTGCTCCTTAGAAGACCAGCGTTTGGCAGGAAGTTAGGGTTCCTATTGTTCACATGTGAGCGTGCTTCATGCCTAAACAGACTTGGCACTTGAGGTGTGCCAGCGAAAATTGCTGCTCTTCTGATTGGCCACAGAGATAAGCAGCAGTGTGGACTCCTGACCACAGCCCCAGCAACTTGCAGGTTTAAGCCTGTTGAAAGATCTAAGTGTGTCATAGACTGGGCCTAGGAAGCTGAGATATTCCCTCAACTTGACCGACATTAGCATCAAAATGATGTTCAGAGTCCCCTGTTCAAACACAAAACATCCCCAATCCCTTTCCTCCCATTTCCCCAACTCTACCAATGCTCCCATCTCAAACCCCTGCCTCACATAGCTCAGCCACAAAATGTGACTTGCCCATACACAGACTCCTAGACTTAGCACCACCGCCCCCTGCTCTGGTGGTGCGTCCTTGGCTGGGGTGGGAGGCTTTCTGAGTTGTAAATTTAATAACAACACCTCATTCGCTCTGTCTTTCTGCTTTAGCATTCACATTCTTGCTCGCACGCACGTACATACGGAGCTGGTGTCTTGTGATCTGCAATGATTATTTTTAGGATCAAAATATATCTTAACAAGCTGTGGATTATGCAGTAAACAGATGGCCCTTGGGGAGGACCCATACTGCTTGGAAGAACGTACATTTTTAGCAGAACAATTTGAGCATCACTGGAAAAAAGAGTTCTGCATATTCTGGCTCCTCAAAGGGGGCTGGGAGTGGGGGGCTGGGAGTGGGCCACTGTGTGTGTGTGTGTCAGGGTCCTGGCTCACTCGGACGCCCTGCTCCCACTCCCCTGTGGCTGACCGTGATGTTATTTTCTTTCCTTCCCCATGTCTTGGTAGGAAAGCCCAGTAGTTTTTTTCCAGAGGACAGTTTTATAGACTCCGGAGAGATCGACGTGGGGAGACGGGCTTCCCAGAAGATTCCTCCCGGCACCTTCTGGAGATCTCAGGTCTTCATCGACCACCCCGTGCACCTGAAATTCAACGTGTCTCTAGGAAAGGCTGCTCTCGTCGGCATATATGGCCGGAAGGGCCTCCCTCCCTCACATACACAGGTAACTAGGTCCCATTCATTCTGCAAGCCCTAGGCATTCCAGCACCAACCTATGCACCCCCGGGGAGGCTGGCACCAGGGCAGGAGACAAGGCTGTGGTTGGGGCTGCACCTGGCATGCACCTCACTCAGGTCCCATTCCTGACACCACACAGTCTCCTGAGCACTGGAGGGAGCAGCCCAGGAGAGTTCAGCACCACTGACGTGGACTGGGGGTCCCCAACACCAGCCGCATCACCAGCTCAGACATCAACACTTGCACTGAATCAATCAACACTCCGATGACCAAGAACCATCAGCAGGGCCCCCAGACCTTCTGAGTACACTTGGAAAATACCCCCCACCCAACTAAGAAAAGCAGCCCACCCGATGCTTCCACCTGGATCCCTGAGTGCCAAATGGGACCTTCTTGCATTTGTTTTTAAGACCTGTTCAGCCCAGTACCCTGGTCAGGACCCAAAGTTTAGGTGAATAAGGTAGTCAGGGATTTGTAAGACACCAGGAAATCTCACAGTAGCTTTCCTGTTATTTGCTAGTCCCCTAAATTCAATTCCAGGAAATGGGGTGGAGGAGGAAAAGGGAAGACCTGGATTTAAATTCTCAACTCTGTGACCTCAGGCCTGCTGGTTTTCCTCTACAAGCAAGTTCCCAGCTTGCAGAGACAGGAAGACCAGAGCCCACCAGTGGGACTGTGGTTGAGTCGGAAACAGCATGAGCAAGGCAGCTAGTGTGGATCTGACACAGAATAAATGGTCCTTCTCTGGTTTCTCACGTTCCTTCTCTCCTTCCAGGCCACACATTACTCAGGCATGTGGGTGCCAGAAACACTTGGAGAACTCATCCAGGCTGATGGTTGTATTAGCAGTTACAAAGATGGAGAACACACACTCCAAGGGCCTTTAGCTCTGGGGCTGGAATAACATAAACCATGTAGATACTCAGGATGCGTTTCAGAAGAAAATTAGTTTTATAGTAATCATTTAAGATTTTTGGTTAAAGATATAAATAGCTAGCTACATTTTTTTAAAAAAGGAAGGATAGATGGATGGAAGAATGGGTGGCTAACTGGATGGATGGATGGATGGATGGATGGATGGATGGATGGATGGATGATGCATGGGGTGTATTACTAGACAGGTAGAAGAATGGACAGACAGATAAAAGGATGGAGGGGCAGATGGATGGAGGGAAAGATAGATGGATGATGGACGGATGGGTGATGGATGGGTGGGTGGATGGGCAGGAAGACTGTGAATAATTACTTAATTTTCTTGCAAGCAGGGCAGTACAACTTAACCACCTACCTGCTGTTAATGCTACTCTTGAGTCTGGCTCTCGCAGATTCAGATCAATCGGCAATTATGTTTGACACAGCATGTAATTATCGATAAGAGTTTTGAGCTAATCCAGTTTCGTTTCCCTCACACTGCTCCCTCAATCGAGGGTATTTAGAAAGAATCACTGACAAAAGGAAGCGAGCTGTCAGTCAGGGTCCGTCCTCACATCCTGCCACTAACGGTGCCTGCAGCCCCAGCCCCGGCCCTGCACCGAGAGTGGGATCTCTCACTGGGTGCCCAGGAGAAGCATGGTTGGCCCACCACAATCTCTGCCAGGGAAGGATTCGCCACCTATTTGCCAAAATCAAAGCAAAAGGAGCTGTAAGCTAATCTGCTGCCTCTGTTTTGCTCACAGATGGTCCTGAGGCTGCAGGGATGCAGCTGGGGCTGGTTCTTCCCCTCCGGTTGGCATCAGCCCCCTGTCCCTCTCTGGCCCCTGCAGGAGCTGAGCTTCCGGGAGCCAGCCCCTGTATTAACCATGTTCTCTTTGGACTTTAGTTTGACTTTGTGGAACTGCTGGACGGAAGGAGACTGCTGAGCCCAGAGGCCCGAAGCCTGGAGGGGCCCCAGCGCCAGTCCCGGGGAGTCACGCCCCCTTCGAGCCACGAGACCGGCTTTATCCAGTATTTAGATTCGGGGACCTGGCACCTGGCATTTTACAATGATGGGAAGGAGTCTGAAGTGGTTTCCTTTCTCACCACCGCCATCGGTAAGGAAGGCAGCACTGGGGACCATGTGCTGTGTCTCTTCGGGTGGGACAGACTTTGGGGGCTGAAGCTAGAGCTGATGAAGGACCGGCCTTGCCCAGCACCAGAGATACCATCCCCTCTCCCCAGAGTTGGCATGAGGCCTCCTGGCCAAGCTCACCAAGAAACAGAAAAATGGATATCGAGCATCCAGGACAGATGGAGACCCTCTAAGCCCGGACCCTTGCCTGCCCGCTTCCTGGCTTCCTCTCTGGGCCCCTTTGCATGTAGGGCCACAGATGCCTTTAAAGACCCAGGGTGGGTAGCACCCACAGGAACCCTAGGTGCTGGGCAGATGGAGACCACCTCTCTTTAGTCATCGCTTCTCTGGAAAAACTCTGTTGTCCTTATTCTCATGTGGTTCCACTCACTCCTTTGCATTTGGAGGTTTTGCTTTTGTATGTGCGTTGGTTTGGGGGTTTGGAGGGTGGGGGGCTTTGTGTGGCTTTCTCCTCCCTTCCTGTTGGTTTTGTTAAGAAGCCAATAGCCGTGTAGATGATACAAAAGCATCAAGGCTTGGAGAGAGTGGGAGACCAGGCTCATGTTGGAACTGTGGTGAGGATGCGGTCTGAGATATAGGAGGTTTACTGGGAGCATGGAGGCTGGCCGAGCACTGTGTATCACCAAGGGGTCAGCACGAAGAAGGGGATCATTGCTCTCAGCTAGTGCCTAGGCATCTCTCAGGCTGTGTGTCATGTTTCCTGGAACCTTTCTCTGCTTCCTCATGTGTACAGACAGGTGGAGTATGCCTTTCCTTCCTGCTGTGTATTGTAGCATGTGGTGGTTCTGGTGTTGGTCCAGAAATCAGTGTCTTAGTGTTTCTAAAGAGGCATCAGGGCAGGGCCGGAGTGATAGTACAAAGGGTTGAGTGTTTGCTTTGCACATGGCTGACCCAGGTACTCCAGATGGTTCCCTAAGTACCACCAGGAATGATCCTTGAGCACAGAGCCAGGAGGAGTCCTGAGCACCACCAGGTATGGTTGCCCCCAAAGCAACAACAAAAATAACAAACAGGAAAAAGAAGGCACCAGGACAGAGTCTGGAAAAGCAACCTTCAACAAGCCATTGTACCTGGGAAGGACATTCTGCTGAGCACAAGGTGTACCTTAGAGCTTGCCTCAGAACTCCATCTCCAGGACTGCCAGTCTCTCAGCCACAGAGGATGTAGTTAAATAAAAGCCTCTGGGTCTTGTCCTTGGGTCCACAAACTCTCGCCAAACCTGTTTTTTTTTTAATCAAGTTTTCATTGACTGGTTGCTGTTTTCCATCATCATAGAGGTTCAGGGGTTTAGTTTCAACCCTTGCTCTGTGCCTCGCCATTATGCTCCCACCAAAGTTCAGAGCTGTGCAAAGTTCAGAGGGCAACCCAAAAGCCCTCTGTCCTCAATTCTCTTACCCACCCTCTTCCCTCTGGAAACCATCATTGTTTGTACTGAGCTAGTGGTTAGTTTGGTTGTTTCTTGCCAGTTTGCTGTCATTATCCATATTCTGCCCATGAGTAAAGGAAACCATCCTTTCATTGTCTTCACTTCCTTCCTCATTTTGTTCCATCTAATCACCTTTGAGAAGTACCACATTGTTCCCAAAGTCTCCGGGTACCACAGAGCTCACCACTAACCAGGCGGAAGCTCCTCTTTTCCTATGGCAGAGCTTGCTCCACTGGGCATTGGCCACAGCGCTAATATCTGGCCGCCTGTCCCCTGCCTCTTGTGAGTAATGCTTCTCTGAGCACAGTGGGTTTGGGAAAGAGATTTTCTAATCAGCATTGCAGCCCTTCAGATGAGTACATGGAGTCAGACCCTGGTTCTTTCTTTTTAATGCCAGGAGTTCTTTTCAAGCCATCTGCTCCTTGTTTCAGTTGCAGAGTTTTACTTCGTATCAGCAAATGCAGCAGCAAGTGCCTTTCCAAAAAGATGGGGTGTTGTATAAGCTTCCTCAGTAAATTCAGGCTCAGTAGCTGCCCTCATGCCCCAGCACCCCTGGGACAAAAGAAGGTGTCCCACTGTGCCATTGTGTCTGGAAGCCTGTCCTGGTCATTGGTCTCTGGGAGTTGGAAGTACAGGACCTGGGAAATGCTCTTCTCTCTCTCCCCGAAAGTCTCTTTGTTCACTGGGGTTGCATGTGCCCATGGCCAGCATCAGTAGGATGGCGGAAGCCATGTGCTTGGTGATCACTGTGTCCTGGGTCCCCCACCCCCCACCGATGCAATGTAGACATGTGTGCAGTTCTGCATTCAACACTCTGGTGTTTTAACCCTGTGCACATCTCTGAGTTCTCCAGCTCAAGTTGTCTTAAGAGTCTGGAATCGGCAGCTGCCACCCAGTGGTCACTAATGTCACAGAGACCCAACACGCAGCCCTGGCCCCATCCTGGCACCCCTGCTTGAGTTCTTGTCAAACGACACAGAGTATGGCCGGCTCTTAGCACGACCTTCTTGCCATCAGAACTCTTTATTTTTAATAACCGAGCACAAATGCAGAAGGGTATTAATACAATCCCCCAGAGATCACTCCTTTTAATTAGGAGATGCATCACAGAGAAATAGAAAGCAGGTAGGGTTCGGTACTTTTGCCAGCCTTTGACTTGTCGGAGCTTGCTAACCTGTTTTGTCATAATTAAGGAGAAGGTCTTGCTTTTCCCTCTTGGTTCTCCTATTCTCACTTAAATGATGAAATTTTCCTTTGCCTCCCTTAACCCTGTGGTATCTTTAAGAGCAGGAAGGCTATATTGTGCTTTTTAGACACCGTGTGTAATGCAGTGTGGTTAGCACGCAGGCTGGGTGGGCAGGCATCCTTAGATTCCGCGCCCCAGAGCAGCACCCAAAGATAGACGTCAGGTGACTCATGTGTATACAGACACACTTTGTCTACTCAGAGCATGTTACAGGTAGCAGAATGAGAGGTTGGGCAGAAGGAGAACCCACATGTCGATCTGGGACATCTCTTCATTTCCAACACGGTTGTATGATAGGATCACTTAAGAAACTAGCTTGAAACTAAGATTCCTCGGCCTTTTTTACCCAGAAATGATAGCCACGTAGATCTGAGTAGCAGTTAAGTGATTCCGAACTGATGGTCCATCTGCTAAGCTTCGGAAGCAAGCGCTTTCTGAGCACCCCTTGCCCTTCTTACCTCCCGCCGTTGTCCACACTCGCTCCGTGCCAACGGTCACATCACCACTCTCAGCCTCATTTTCCTCTTCTGGAAAGTGAGATTGGACCCGTGCGCTCTGCCTATTGTGAAGATCAGGGAGTACAAACCAATGCCTCAGCTCTGGCGCTGGAAATATTCTCTCCCTGTCGTTCCTCTTGCCTCCCGGCTTGCACATTTTCTCTGACCTGTCTGCATGTCTGCAAGTCACGGTGATTGTTTAATGAATGCCTCTATTTTTTTTTCCTTGAATACAAAAACAGACTGATGCTGAGGTTGCTATTAATCCCCCACCCCACCCACCCCCAGCCCCAGCGTTGAGTCTCAGCTGTCGTTGATCGTTACCTGTGAGCACCGAGCTATAATTTGTCACGGCAGGTTAATTAAAAGTTTCGGTCTCATTTTAGTGAAGTCATTATGGTTGCGGTATACAATTGTAGCTCTCAGGTTTGCTTAGCACACAAATTGAAATCCTACCCTCCCTCCCTTCATGAAATGCTTGATGTGGAATGCAGAATTTCAGAAGATCTGAAGATGTCAGAATCCAGAGTTTTTATGTTTGTTTGTAATTAAGTCACTGGAGAAATAATTGTGTTTAATTTAACAAATGACTACATTATGTATACTTTCACTTTTTCCCTCCATTTAAAGCAGATGATTCAATCCAGCTGATGGTTTTAAATTAAATCAGTTTATCTTTTGAAGAAACTCCTAAAGCACTTTGCTGACTATATACATAGGTATATATGCACAGAGAACACTGGCTGCCGGTCCTCTGGCCTAGATGTGTGTACATGGACTCACATGCATGCACGCACAGCTCTAAAACCAAGCGAGTTCTAAAATAAAAATAAAACAACGAGTACAGTGGGAGGGGCACTTGCCTTGAATGCAGTTGACCGCATTGGATCCATAACATTCCAGATGGTCATCTGAGCCTACCAGGAGTGATTCCTGAGCACAAAGCCAGGAGTAAGCCCTGTGCATCATCACTTCTGGCCCCCAAAACAAAATAAAATAAAATCAGACAATAAAACATGCCGCTGTCTTCATCATGAATAGTCTTTCCAACACCACATGTGGATGTCCAGAAGCCTGGGGCCTTGTGTGTGCTTCCAGGCAGTGAGTAGAATAGGAGACATATATGGACACCCAAGTGTGATTCCCCATTTCAACTTACAGGACTGAGCACATTCTTTTCCTTTCTTCAAATTTTAATCTAATTTAATTGTTGTTGTTGAATTGTCATGATTTACAGAGTTACGAAGTTATCCCTTATGAAGTTACAGGCTTATAACGTTCTAGGACATCTTAAGCCTTGCAACAAACTCATGATGTGGTTGCTGTTATTTTTATTATCACTTCCTATTATGGATAAGAGACTTGAGATTAGAAAAGAAAAAAGAAAAAGGTGGCGACTTAAATGTGTATTTGTCTGAGCCCAAAACTCAGAAGTGGGGAGCCCAGAGCAATAGTACAGCAGGTAGGGTGTTTGTCTTGCACGTGGCCAACCTGGGTTCACTCCCTGGCATCCCATATGGTCCCCTGAGCACTGCCAGGAGTAATTCCTGAGTGCAGAGCCAGGAGTAACCCCCTGAGCATCACTGGGTATAACCACAAAAATCCAAAAAAAGAAAAATCAAAGTCAGAAGCGAGATCTTTCATCTTCAACAATCTGCAGCTTTCTGAGACTCAAGACACCACCCTTTTTTTGAAGTTTAGACTTACTTCTGTTTTCCTTCTACTCAGCCACTCAGTGAACCTTGAGGCCAGTCTGTATATCACTTAGTTCTTTTCCCTCTGTAACCTAAGCT